GAATCTGGAAATGTGTAATGACAGTAAGCCACAAAACAACTTTTTCCAACTCTCCACCAATGAAGATGGAACTTTTTATTCTGAAAACTGTGAACATATGAACTGTTATTCCCACCAGCTTTCACTCAGCTCAGACTCCTGCCTCCCCTGACAGGCAACATCATCTCCTACAGACAACAGGACGAGAGCAGGCACGGAGTGATCCTTCCCAGGGCACTCAGCAGCAGCTCACAGACCTCCCAGGCTGCAGAATTATCTTCTTTAAAAGGAATCTCGGATGGATTTCTGCAGCATTTGGAGCAAACACTTGAAGACAGCAGTGTCTGGGGCCGTGGGAGCCACAGAAACCATCACGAACCACCACATACAGGCTACAGGTTTGCCCTTTTGCTCCTTCCACCAGGAGGCTGCTCTGTGATGCCACTGCTCCACTTCAACCATTCCTAACCCCACCACTGCTCCACTTCAACCATTCCTAACCCCACCACTGCTCCACTTCAACCATTCCTAACCCCACCACTGCTCCAGATAAACCATTCCTAACCCCACCACTGCTCCACTTCAACCATCCCTAACCCCACCACTGCTCCACTTCAACCATCCCTAACCCCACCACTGCTCCACTTCAACCATTCCTAACCCCACCACTGCTCCACTTCAACCATCCCTAACCCCACCACTGCTCCACTTCAACCATCCCTAACCCTACCACTGCTCCACTTAAACCATTCCTAACCCCACCACTGCTCCACTTCAACCATCCCTAACCCCACCACTGCTCCAGATAAACCATTCCTAACCCCACCACTGCTCCACTTCAACCATTCCTAACCCCACCACTGCTCCACTTCAACCATTCCTAACCCCACCACTGCTCCACTTCAACCATCCCTAACCCCACCACTGCAGGCACTGGCCAGGACCACCTTTCCCATCAGCTGGCCCAGCTGTCAGAGGTGATAAACGTTACCTCAAATCAAGTGTCTGTGCAAACCTGGCAGGATCCTGGTGAGAACCAACGGGACTCCCAGCAGGATCCTGCCTGGCTTCCTCAGAACTCACGTGGTGTCCTCAGAACAGCCCACCCGGAGCTACAGCTCCCAGAGAAGCTGAGCAGCAGGGAATATTCTCATGAGTCACCCTGGCAATTCCAGTGGGAAATACATCTAGACCCAATTTTTAATGACATTGAGGTCCTTGAAGGTGCAGAATTACAACAATCAAGGAAAAAACAATAATGTATTTAGAAAAGCTGAAAACTAAAATGAAGAGGTGGGGAAAAAAAAGAAATCAGTCTCATCTAAAGTGAAACTTCCCAGCAAAAGGAGGTACCTGCCAACCAGCCCATCTCTTCTGGATGGCAGCAGTGGGCCCCTCCTGATTCCTTTCTTCAACAAGACCACTAAGGAAAGAGAGGGACTGTCCTTAGGAAATTCAAGGGAATGGGGGAAAAGTACTGAAATAAAAGAAATAATTTGAGGATATTCATAGCAAAGTTCCAGTGATATCCATTTGATTATTGCACAATAGTCTCCATGGGAAGTATTAAAGCCATCAAAAGCATGAGAAACAAATTCATGCCAGAAGACTAATGAGAATAAACTCTAAATAGCATTCCTGCTCTGCTCCCCAAGGGCAGCTGTCTGCTCTCTCACACCTTCCACAGGGAAGCTACTACTCCATTTAAATGCTGGAAAGTCAGCTGAGATAATTTCCCCAAAGGCAAAAACATCTCTGGCCAGCACACAAGTGGACTGGCTTCTACCTGACTTTCAGTTCAGACTCTCATTAAAACAAAATAAAAAGGCACAGAACAAACATGAGAGCTCCAAGCTACTTTTAGTCTTCCCCACCCTTCATTTCCCTTTGTGTTGTTCACTTCCCACCTGTCCAGTGACCCCCACCAGGTGTCTCAGCCAGCCCAGGGCCCTGAACATTTCTTTTCTGAGATGGTCCAACACTCACCATCTCCCTCCAGGCTGCTGCTTTCAGAGGCTGCATGCCCAGTGCCAGCAGATGTTTCCTCACACATCCCAACAAACACACACACAACTATTTCAACAGAGCAGTAGGATACAGCCAGGAGAGCTCCTTCTCAAAAAGCTCACCTACCTTGTATTTTGAAAATACAACATTTTCAAAAAGAGGGAAATGGTTCAACACTAAGCTGTTCCACGTGGCCCCTTCCCTCATTCCCTCACACTGCTATCACTGACCACTGGCAGGCAGATCCAAGGACTATGAACTGCTCAGCTGGGCCATGAAGAGGAGTAAGAAGCCCTGAATCATAGAGTTTTCTTGGTCTGCAGATCCAATCTGAACAAAAACCAGAATGCTGTTCAACCTTTCCTGGGAGTCAAGGGAAAGCAAGCCAAAACCAGGCTCAGAAATGAGCTGCACAACACTACACATGAAATATTATTACAACCCATTATGTTGGTGCCCCTTGAAAGGACAGTTCAGGGCATATTCTGTTGAAATGTTAATAAATGAGTTTAAACTGCTGTCCCCTCCAGTAGCACTTAAATTACTCCATACACCTCAAATGCCATGCTTTCCCTCTTGTAACAGCTCCTTCATTTGAATCAATAAAGAGAAACCTACAACAAGGAATAGAACCCTACACCTATTTTCCTATACCTATTTTCAGTGATGTGGATTTCCCCCACTCCCTGTCCCTTCCCCTTCTGACAGCCAACACGAGCATCTGGAAGAAGAGCCATCCAAGCCACAGTGCCCAAGAGTAATCCTCCCCACACAGCAGCACTGGCCAGTTTGTGGAAAACCCTTCAACCCAAGATTAGAACAAACTGCAGTGTTTGCCTTGAGCTGATACTTTTGCCTGCCAATCATGTATGTATTTTAAGACAAATCCTGATGCTAAATGAAGCACATGCATTGTAATCTTTCCTGTAACATTCTTTTTACTAGAATATATTTAGAGCCCTTTTATCCCAACCAATACTTGTCTTTTTTTCTTTGTGTGCAACAAAGGGAGTTCCTCCTTGTTCTTAAGAGATAGAGTTCTACACAATGGACTTTGATACATTTCCGTTCCTACACAGTATTTTTGCAAAGGTATCAAACATTATAATTAAAATAATTATACTTGGCAAAGAAGTAACTGTGGAATGTGCTCCCTCTTCTTTCTTTTCCAGCACTGCTCAGTTTTCTAATGGTTTGCTGCTCTACCAGTCCTTACCAGGAAATGATGGAGCTGCTTTTGAGAACAACTGTGCAGAAACTAAGGGTGTTGAGATGGTGCACAGGCTTCCACCTTGCAGTAGTTAATTTAATTTTTCATTAACTTCTCACCCTCTGGACTCATCCACTCCATAGGAACCGCGTGCAATAGCTCAGGTCACTTTAACAACAGGGCACAAAACATGACTCAGTCCCCCTGAAGGCACTGCTCTGCACTTATCATCTTCCTAACAATGCCCTGGGAGCACCAAAGTCTTAGCCCAAAGAGAAGAAAACCTCTGTAACTCCAGCACACTGTGGTTTCCCCTTCATCTTTCTTTACATCACTTACGAGGTCTGCTCCACGTATCTTTGGAATCTGTTCCAAGCAAGTCAGAGTTTAACAATAAAGGATTCACTTACAATCAGTAACTGCTCATTTTAATGACAGGTTTTCAACATGACTTGCCACAGTTATTAGTGTACTACAGAAAGGATCTGCAGTAGGAACTGAAACAAAAATCCCCAGGGCAGATTATTTCAGTGTATTAGGCAGCACCACCCCAGGATTTCTACCACATGGCCAGTTTTTCACAGTTCAAAGACAGGTAGATGTTGCACAGTGATGACAGATCCTTTGGCTCCAGTCCTGAACACACACAATGCAAACACTGCTGTTCCCTGTTGTTTGACTACTGGGTAACACGCTCGGTGCTACCACTTGCACACCACAGATTCTGTTCTCCACTGAGGAGACGAGGAGAAAACAAATCACACTTCCAGAACCTGGATTTGACTAGGCATTCATAAAAACTGATCCCACATTCATCACCACAGTCCCCTATAACCTCGTGGCACAGCTGAAGCAAGGATACTTTCAGTGTGTTTTACACCAAACCTGCATGTGCAAGCTCTGCCTTGTGCTAACCAGCTGTGGTTTTAAACGCTGGAGTTACACGTATGAAATATTAAAATCTTTCTGCCATCACAGTCCTCAAAGACCTCATCCATTTTAAGTTAAAACTGCAAGAAAATACTTAAAAATTTATTTCGAACTTACTGCCATTTTCATGAAACACCTATTTTCAAATATCCCGAACAACACATTTGTTGGTTTGAAAAATATGAACATCAAAGTGACTTTGCAAGCGGATCAGATGAAGGCAAACATCAGCATCAGCACCAGGAAAACCGCCGAACGCTCGGGTGTTACTGCACCTTTCACCGCTCCCAGACCCGCGGGGGCTCCATCGACCTGAGCGGCTCAGGTGTCCCAAAGTACAGAACGAGCACAGCTCACGTCTCATTTCACAATACGAGCGCGGGGTTTTTTTACGGTTTATTTCCTTTTGCTCGGTGCAGCCCGTCACGGCAGCAGGGATGGGAGTGCCGTGGCAGCTCCAAGCGGATCCGCCCGTGCCCGCCGAGGGGACCCTCACCGGGCAGGGCTCCGGACACCGCGAGCCCCTCCACAGTGACAGAAGGGTCCGTATTTACTGCTGAGAAGTTGTCTCTGCAGTTCCTTACCCTGCACGACCTCGGCGGCGGCGGCGGGTCCGTGAAACCCGCCCGTCACCACGGGCACCCACGGGCACCCACGGGAGGTCACGGTCGCACCGGCGCGCGCCTGCCCCGCGGCGCCCGACGCTCCCTGCACCCCGGACCTGCCCCCGCACCCTGGACCTGCCCCGCACCCCGGACCTGCACCCGCACCCCGGACCCGCGGCTGGGCCGGCCGGACCGACCCGCCCGGGCCGCACTCACCCCCTCGGCCACCTCGCCCCTGCCCAAGTGCCCGGTCCCAGGGCCGTACTCACCACCTCGGCCACCTTCATCCTGCCCAGGGTGCCCCGCAGGTAGTCCAGGTCGCAGCGCAGGCCGCCCAGCCCGCGGCGCTGGCTGACGGGCTCTGTGGTGGGCTGGTAGGGGCTGCTGGCGGCCGAGATCATGGAGGCGCTGGACGCCTCGCCGTCGAAGCCCTCCAGGTCCTCGCCGTTCCTCATGGTGCCGGGGCCGCCGGGGCCGGGCCCGGCCCAGCGCCGCGCTCAGCTACGGCCGCGGGCGCTGCATGGCCGGGCCGAGCCGGGCCGGGCGGGCCCGGGCGCTGCCGCCGTGCCCCGCGGCCGGGCGGGGCGGGGTCCGGGGCGGCGGGAGCAGCCGAGCGGTGCCCGGGGGTGCCCCGGAGCGGAGCGATGTCCCGGAGCCCTGCCCGCCGTCCCTGCCCCAGTGCTCGGGGGCGCTCCCGGCTCCGCTGGTCCCGCTCCTAATCCCGATCCCAATCCCCCTCCAGACGCCGGTCCCAACCCACAGCACAGCCCGCTCCGAGCGGCGCCGCCGCGGCCGCTCCTCCCCCTGCGCGGAGCGGAAAGGGCGGGCAGAGCCGGCCCGGAGGGCGCGGGGCCGGGCGGGGCCTGCGCTGCGACCGCCCCGCGGGACCGCACCTGGGCCGGGACCGCACCTGGGCCGGGGCCGCACCTGGACCGGGACCGCACCTGGGCCGGGACCGCACCTGGACCGGGGCCGTACCTGGCCCGGGAACAGGGACAGCGCCCTCCGGACCGCACCTGGACCGGGACCGCACCTGGGCCGGGACCGCACCTGGACCGGGGCCGTACCTGGACCGGGAACAGGGACAGCACCCTCCGGACCGCACCTGAGCCGGGAACAGCCACGGCACACCTCCGGACCGCATCCGAGCCGGGAATCGGGGACGGACCACACCTGACCAGGGAACCGGGCAGGGACCGCACCTGAGCCGGGAACAGCGACCGGACTGGGGCTGGGGACGGTCCCGGTGTCCGCCCGGCCCTCGGGCACTGCCGGGGCTCCACAGGCGCCGATGGTGGTGCCGAGGCTGCGAAAGCCGACGCTGCTGACACACCCGAAATGCACCCGCAGCTCGTCCTGAGCACAGCCCCGAGCTGCAGTGCCTGCCCCGAGCTGCAGTCCCTGCCCCGAGCACAGCCCCGAGCTGCAGTGCCTGCCCTGCCCGGCACTGCCTCTCTCCTACACTGACCCGCACCCGCAGAACTCCCAACAGCGGAAACCTGCCGAGCATTCATCCACCAGTGTTACCTTTACGTGTTTCTAAATAGTGACGTTTTCCAAGTAAACAGTCTTTACTGATTCTAAATCACCTTCTGGAGGTACTTTCTCTCTCGCTGTGTCACCACTAATAAGGAGAAATTGCAACATAACCTGGCGAATCCAGGTGAGTGGAATGCAGCCGTGTGCCACAGACCGAGCTGGAACCCGAGCGCTCAGTGCTGCATCCTGTGATCTGCCAGGTTATCAGCCAGGTCCCTGCTCCTATCCGTGTCCCTCACAGTCTACACTGTTTTCTGTTCCCCATGACAGGACTTGAACTGTTCTAGCACCTTCCTCTGGCCTCCCAGAGTCTGTCTTTGGTCCTTCTGCTTTCCATGAACACTTGGATTATCAACCTTGGAACTTTCTTTCCGGTTGCCTCTGTGTTACTTCATCTCTCCCTTTCAGTTCTCCTGGGGGTCATTCCCAGTCATGGCTTGGTTAACTGGAGACGCAGCTGACTGTGCAGCCAATGCAAGTCCTTTCACAGCCTCCCTGGTGCTGGAAGAGGCCGATATTCTCAAGCAGGACAAAGAGAAGATGCATAAGAAAGGGAAACCATTGCCCTTTGGTGAAGGGTGAGTGGCAGGGAAATAAAAGATAATTAAAATGAAGCATGAGCAAGGCATGGAGAAGGAGGGGTGGTCACATGAAACCAGCCTAACAGGATGAAATCGTAAATGTAAGGGGGGAGTCCTGCACCGGCACAGGGCTGGCCACGATGGACAAACAGGTTTTACAGTCTCGTACTTCAGTTCTTGTATAACTTCTGGGAAATCAGAAGCCTCACAAAGCTCCTTTTCTTGCAGGAAGTATCATGAGGAGGCGGTTGCCACTTCTGAGAGCATCTCTGGATTATAACTTGTGGCTCCCCAGCCGTTTCAGGAGCACAGGTATATTTACCTATAGAGACAGTTAGCGTTTGTTTTGAGGGACTGCTGTGGCTCCTCTAGAAAATTGTCCTCACCAAAATAAGGAAAACATTTTTTATACATGCAGCAAATATTATTTTGGTGACTCATTTGCAGTTCTAACTACAACATATCAATATGTTCAAAGAGAATCAAAAGGTGGTGTTGCAGGAGGTAAATGAAGGACAAAGGGAGAGACAGTTCAGTGATTTAAACAAAAAACAAGCTGATAAGAGATTGTAATTCTGGGGTTTGGCTCAGCCACTGCCTCCTGCACACCCTTCAGCAAACCTCCTGATAGCTTGGGTTTCTTCTTTCTCTTCACTTTCTTCTTCCTTTCTTATGGATAACACAAAGTTGATTTAAAATCCCCAGAGCAGTTTGAGGGTTCTGGGAAGTGCAGACACACGGAGCCCCCTGTTCCTTAGGGAGCCAATTGCCCAGGTAGGGAAGCTCAGCCAGTGTTCCCTGTGCTCCATCAGGTGATGTTTGAACACCCGTGAGGGCTGTTCCGAGTGTCCCGAGTGTCCCAGCTCCGAGGGGAGCCCACGGTGCCCCTCTGGCGCCAGGTGGGCACGGTCAGGGACCCTCCAGAGAGGGCACAGCTCCAACCCGAGCCAAACCAGGGGCTTCTGGCATCCCCCTGCACGGGTGGGTGGGCTGGACACACTTGGCAAGGCCTCCAGAGGTTCCTGCCAACACTGAACAAAGGAATCCTTTACACACATTCCTGCCTGATGCGGCACCTTCTCAGCCCCGAAGCACTGCCGGGAAAAAACCTCTGCGTTTCGTATGTAAATAAAAGTATCGATCCGGTGCAAAGGTCGCTGCCTTCAGCCAAGGCGGGTCCTTGGCTCTCCGATAACTCGGGGTTTGCAAGTTGCTCTCCAAGCACAGCCTGGCGTTCCATTGTGTGCCTGCAGAGACAAGGAAAGTGGGCAACTGGGTCAGTGATCACCACCCGGGACACCACCCGAGTATCGAGCTAATCAGGGCATGGAATTCACCTCAGAGGACTTCACATCCAGCTAAAATAGGACTAAAGGGTGCAAACAAGGCAGAAACAGCACAGAGGGGAAATCCAAGCATGCAGTTCATAAATGAACATGTGCTGTAATTAAATGAGCTGAGATCTGGGGGTTTTACTGAATGGTTAGGCCAGCTCTGACAGAAATAAAAATTCCCTGTCAGAAAGAATCTCCAGCGCAGTGGTCAGGAATTAAAATCAAGTGGTGATTCAGGTGTAAAAAGCAGTGGAAAGAGAATCATAAATATTCTCATCAAACTGAACAAAGCAACCCTGAACTCTCAACTTTCATCTCAGCTATTCCTACAGCCTTTAATAAACAGCCTCTCATAAACTTCTGAACTGCTTGTGGGTTCATTTCATTAAGTGTTATTTCCAAGATCAAACTGTCTGATTCTATTCCAGTTGAATAGGAATATCACCTCAAAACCAGATTTTTAAAGCTGCATTTATGTAGTTTTAACACACTTAAAAGTATTTTAATGCTTATACATAAAATTTTGTAGATCTGAATGGTACTTATTAGGAATGGTGTTTCGATGTAGTTAAGAATGTAAAAGGCATTAGAATTCTAACGGGAAAGTTCCATCTGTGCAAGTACCTGAAAAGAGCCGGGAGGTTCTTTAAGAAATGCTCCGGTATTTCCACATGACCTACCGAAGGGAAGGAGCGCTGGTCTGCTGCCAAATTCCAGGAGAGCTGAGCGGTGATTAGAGTTTAACTTCAGCATCACACAGGAGGCTTTTTTCCCCCTCGAATTTCTCAGTGTAAAAAAATGCTGAAACTCTTTCTCAGCTTTTCAGTTGGGGGGAGAAAAAAAAACCACCCAAACCCCACCCTAAAAAGCTAATAAAGAACTCGCTTTAGGAAAACATGTGGTAGCTTTGGGTGCCTCGGGGCACTGAATTGTCCCTTTGCACAGTGTGGGAGTGTGGCACGAACACTCGGGGGCTGCAGCCATGGGAAGTGGGCAAAGCATTTTGCTGAGTCAGAGTCAGGAATTAACACAAGAATGAGCTGCGAGTTGTGCCATGGACTTTAAGGAGAAGGGAATCGGTGGGAAGTCAAGCAGTGAGCCCTGACTGTGGCTGCACAGGCACAGGGTTCCTGTGTCACCACCCCGAGCAGGGGCAGCTGCAGCTCCCGGGACTCCCCTCTGAAGGCACCTCAGAACAGCCCAGACTGAACCCAGCCTGCAGTCACAGCCCTGCCAGCTGAGGGGACACAAAGGGACTGCTGGGAACCTGGAAGAGCTTCCTGCACTGAACATCCAGGCCGTTCCCTGGCTCACAGCAGCTCAGAGGGCTGGTTTGCCCAGGGCACCTCGGGCACACTGGCACAGCAAAGGGAGGGGCTCCCTGGGCTTCCCTCTGAAAGAAGAGCAGCTGCAGTGCCCAAAGGTGTCAGGAGCCTGTTCCTCTCCTCAGCTGCAGTGCCCAAAGGTGTCAGGAGCCTGTTCCTCTCCTCAGCTCCAGGACAGCACTGGCCCCTGCACAGTCAGCACCTTCCCCTGTACCCCAAGCCCTGGCTGGAGAATAAACAGAGCCCTGGAAGGGCCTCCAGGCCTGGGGCACTCGAGCCCCACGTGCTCCCAGCCCAGCCCCAGGGGCAGCCCCAGCTCTCCCAGGGGCCACGGGCAGAGCTGAACTCACCCCACGACTGGCCCAAGGAGCTGTAGGGGCTTGGCTTCACCTTCCAGGGCACAGGCAAAAGTGTCACTCCTGAACTTCACTATCACTGTCAGAAAACAGTATTTCCCCTCCAAAAACAAACAAAAACGACCCAAACCCCACAAAACCAAGAAAGGCAACGCTGCCAATCAAATCAGTGAGACCTTACCTTGCACACACAACCACAACTTCATGTGCTTTTAACAGTGAGCCATTCACAGGCAATTTAGGTTTAATTTTTTACTCAGAATTAAAGACTGACATCCCATTCAGTATCATCTACTGGTTCAGTTTGTTGGCTTTTTTTCCCCCTGCCTTCAGTACTGATGAAGTAGTCACTGACTCCTCTCACCTGCAAAGGCTTTTAAGGGCATCTGCAATCTGCAAGTGCCAGGGAGGGGTTACCTTGCAGGCACAGCTGGGCTGAAGAGCAGCAGCCTTTCTACAGAGCAGTGAGGGGAAACGAATTTCTATGAAAAAATAGAAGCAAAACCTCGGATTCTTAAGTGCCAGCAGACCTTTAATGGTGCTGGGAACCAGCCAAGACTGTGAATTATATTTCTTTTCAAAGAATCCTGTATAATGAAGTACACTGAAAAAATATGCAGAGAGACTGACAGCAGTGTTTATTTTATTCATGGCACTACATTTATCCAGAGAATGGGGCGGGGGGGAAGGAAGCCCTGAACAGAGAAAAAAGGTGGTGGTCTCCTAATAACACCATGAAAACACACAGGCCTGGAGCAGAAGGCCAGAAAACACCGGTTCCCTCTGCCTGGGCAGGGGATGCTGTCCCTGCAACAGGCAGGAGTTTTACAGCAGCAGATGGAGCACAGGGTACAACAGCCCCTTGCAGGGAAAGAGCTGATCTTTCTTTTTTAAGGAGGTGGGAAACTGAGGGGAGGGAGGAAAAAAAAAAAAAACAACTGTGTAAACCATGTTTTATAAGCAAAGTTTTAAAGGTCCCTTAGCAGGCTTTAAAAAAAAAGATGAAGTTCCCTCACTACATTCCTTCTTTCCACGGCCGAAACGGGCCAGCGAAAACAACTGACCTCAACTGTTTGAGCCCTGTGTGTGCTGTTCCACAGCCCAGCCAGTGCCCTGCACTGCTGCAGCAGCTGCACGTGCTGGACAAGGCCATTTTATAATTGCCCTCCCGAATTTGTTTTCCTTACAGCTGAAGTGCAGCTCATTGCTACCACCAGCCAGGGGAACTGCAGTTCCAGGAACGCTCCCTCCCTCAGCACTTCATTTCTCTGGCCCACAGCACTTTGTATTCAGCTCATTTGGCTCATTCCCTCACCGAGTATTTCTTTAGTTACACGGGGGCTTCTACATCCAAGGGCTTTTTTTTTTGGTTTTTTGTTTTTTTTAAACAGGAAAAATAATTTCAAGTCTTTCATCCCTGGCTATAAAACCCAAGGCAGGCACATGGCCCCAGCTCTCCAAAGCCATCCAGAGCGGAACTAATAAATCCTGACTCCTTACAGACTTCTGCCTTCTCTTCCCACCTTCCCAGCTGCCCCCCTCCCACCGAGCCCCCTGCCCCAGCACCCTCCCCAGGGTGCCTTTCCCAGGCTTAGCTCCTATTTACCTCCTCCAGCTGCTGCCTGAGCAGAGGGAAGCGGCTGCAGCGCCAGGGTCCATGTGCACAGCCCGCAGGTCTGGGCTCGGCCTGTCTCGCTCAGGAACCGGCCAAACTTCCTTGGCAATCCCCACCTAAAGCAGAGGAAATCTTTGGATTTATCGTCTCCACCAAGCCACTCGTTCTCCTGCAACTGGGATGAACTCAGCTGGCTGGGAGATCTTTCTCCTCACTGAAGCTGGCCAAGAGATTGCAGTTATTTTTGAGGAGGGGGTAGAGCAGGACAGAGCACCAACGCAAAAGCAGTGGAAACCACGCAAAAAATGTGGCAGCATTCTCTTAATAGATGTGTTGTACTTCTGTTCAGCCAAAAGGTGACTTGGAGAGATCCTGACAGGCTTTTGCTAAGCTCTATTTCAGAGCCTGCCAACTTCTCTGGCAGTTCCTCAGCCCAGCACATCATCACTGTGAGACACTGGTCAGGACATCCTCATACAGCTAATTCTGGTCTCCTCCTGACACCCCAGTATTGTCCTGGGGCACTTGTGCTTCCCCCAGGAAAATAAACCTGTGTGCAACAATTCAAGTTTACCACATCAACAAAGTAGCAACTCAGCAGCCCTGATGTCTCACATGGATCAAAGGCTGATATTCCACTTGCTTGTTCCCAAACCAGTCCATCACAACAGGAACTACCAATTCCCACCAAAGCAGAGCCCAGACTCCATCACCTCCTTACTCATCTGAGCCACACAGCTGCAATTCTGGCTTTGGCTGCAAGTGCCAGAGCTCTCCCCAAGGCCCTTTGCCTTTGTTTTGGATGAAAGGGATTTTCTCTGCAGCCAGTGACTGATCTTTCAGAAAATGGAACCTTTTCCTTCTAAACTCTTTGAGAACGTCTGAAAATCTTGAACTCTTTACTTATAATCTAATAATCTCCAAAGCATCCTCAGTCTCCCAAGTCCTTCCTGGATAATCATTTTCCTCATCTGGAAAAGGGAGAGTTTGATTTATTAGGGCAAGCCAAGAATTGCTTGTGTCCCATGGGCCATGCAGGGCCAGCACTGCCCTCCAGCCCGTCCCACTGAGCCATGAACAGTGGGTGGCTCTGGCTCAGCAGCCCCCTCCATCCAGGCTGTTTTCCCTCTGTTCTGTCAGCTCCCTCAATCCTAACCTGCCATCCCATTCCCTCTCTGGGTTTTGGAATGCTGGCAGGCTGTAGAGTGCCAGACACCTCCAATCCCATTTCCTTCCCTCAAGAATTCAGTATTTTACTGCACATTTTTGCAAATACTCATGCAGGGCCATTTCCAGCACCTTCTAGTTGCAAGCACCTTTCTGGCCTATTTTGAGGGTTTTTTTGGGTTTGTTTGAAGCATTAAGCATTTCTGAGGCCAAGCTGACATTTTTCCGTGTCCCACAAAGCTACGCCGAGTGTTCCAAGCAAAGAAGGGCCAACAGTTTGAGGAGGGAACGTTCCTATTGAAGCTCAAACACTTCCCAGAGGCAGCTTGTGCTGATCATGCAGGTTTCTCGTGGGCAGATACAACTGTTTCCTGTCAGTGCCGGACTTTGCTAGTGCAGGGTCTCAGTTCAGTGAGACTGAAGTGGAGTTATGAGGAAGACCAAACTCCTCCCTCTAAGCAGTTCCTTTGTGGGTGTGAATCCCCCTCCCTCCTTCAACACCTCTCTTTCACTGTGGTGCAGGGGGAAAAAATAATTCCAAGCTTGGTTTATTGGAACAAGTAAACCTCTGACATTCAGCTTCTGTTCTGAAGGACAAACCGATGTCAATTGACCCAACACAGAATTAGGAAGGAAAACAGCTTAACTCCTATTAACAAAATTCTTAGGGCTGAATGAAACTGCTTTTTCTTTGGCGAAAAATTCAGCTTTCACTCTGAAAGGTACTCAGCTGAAAAAAATAACCTGCCAAACAAGAACGGGCTGGGGAAGCTGGGCGAGCAGCGCAGCAGCTGCTCCCACAGGCACATCCACCAGCCTCACTCCAGGCACTGATCCCACGCCTGCCACCTTCTGGCCTTGGAATATGTTTTGCTGAAGGTTTCTGGAGCTGAAATAATTGTAATTAAGCATCAGGGAAAGGGGAGTGAGGGATCTTTCTCTTCAGATAAGAAGTTATTACTCACAGTGGTGAATGTGCCACACGAAGTCTGCAAACAAAGGGACCAGAGAACAGGAATCGCTTCCCTCAGTTCTGACATCTCACAGAACTGCTGCTGTCATTCCCAGGGTGGTTCCAGCTCCAGGAACTGAGTGTGTGGCTCTGAATCCCAGCACAGAGCAGCGATTGCACAGCCCTTTCTAGTTCATTCTCTAACAAAACCCTGCCATGCCTGAAAAGCCAGAGGGGTTAACACAGCCATTTGGAACAGGGAGTGAAAGATTTCCTCTTGTAAGAGTAGCTTAGAGCCTCCACAAAGATTTTTCCTCACCAAAACCTTATTATCTCAATTATTATTTTTTTTTTTTTTTTTTAACATTTGGGGACATTTAGCTTTGAAAAAAATTCCAAAGTAAAGTTGAACAGCAGCAAAGTAAATACAGGAGTTGTAAAGGGTGTTCTTCAATTCAATCCACTGTTACCACCTTTCTGGAGGCACTTCCAACTTCAGCACATCTGAAGATGGAATCTTCATTTGGGTTTCTCCCAAACTAACATCACAGGTAACAGGCTTCATATAATTAAAAAACACTTTCTAAAGCCCATCTAAGGGGACTAAAATTAATTCTTCACATTAATGAACTAATTGAAGCATAAAACACTATGGCAATTCTAAAGTGGTAGTTGTTTCATGGCCTCATAAGGATTCCCTTCCAGAGAAATTGTATTTCAGACACCAAAGCTGAGTTTTTCAGAGGCAGGGTGACTGAACAAACAGTAATATCTACGACTTCCATCTCTGGAGGGGAATGTGGAAGCAACCAGCTGAAGTAACAATGAAGTGATCAAGTAGAATCCTAAGTAAATGTTTCCCCTTTCTGTGCTTACCAGGAAGCACTCACTGAGAGAACACCCAGCCTGGTTACTGGCAGAGAAAAGCCATTTCCAACACTCCAGCAATTCACTCCTCACAATCCTGCAAATTTAGGAGCAGTGCTCTGTTTGGGAAGAGCAATAGAAGGTTCATTTTGGAAGCTGGTAAAGTATCCAAGTGTTTCCCCATTCCCCTAAATCCCTTACATCCATCCAGAGCAGCTGTGCTGGCAGAGCTGTGGGGTGTGAGGGGTCAGGACACATCTCTGCTTCCCTGACCCCCCTGAACTCCAGGGGGTTCCCTGGAGGGGCTCCAGGCACCAACCCCTGCAGAGGGAGCTGTCACTGAGCTGCAAACTGCACCAGCAACTTACTGCTCCTGTTCCCAGCCTGCTCCACAGCCCCATCCTCTGCTCCCACAGCGACAGCCCCAGAGGGGGAGCTCACAAACCACACCAGAGCAGGGCAGAGCAGTCTGGATTCATCTTTATTGAAGCCAGTAGTTAAAGACGTCCTCGTTTTGCCAGCACTAGAAAGCAAAGTTCCACATGACTGCACCTGGTTAAAGCCATACAACTGGACTAAGGTTTGTTCAGACATTGGCAGTCCTAATTGTAAGTTGGAAAAAAAAAACAACCCAGTAAACTTAGTATACAGGACAGTGAACTTTGATTTACAGCATGTATATTGTTAAGTTCACGATGTACAGAGCAGTCACTTCCAACGTAGTTAAATTAAATAAAATACGAAATTCTGTTCAGTTTAAACAGTTGTTTTTTCTTTTTTTTTTTTTTAATGCCAATAAAAAAAAGTGCAAACTTAAAATCAAGCAGCATAACCACAGCATTTTTATGGAGGGCCAATCTTTAAACATTTCTATTTGCTTCAAGTTGAATGCTTTCATCTTTTGTTTCCATAGTTTAAACATGAACAGTAGATGCAGTCACTATAATGCATATAAATATAGGCATATAATAGTTTAAACAGTCTACCATACGAGTGTATCTGCAAATAAAAGGAAGTTTCACTTGAAAATGTAAAGGCTGTTTGCATTTGGCCTTTGGTTCCAATGCTTGAAGACACCAGAATGACAACTGTGCAGCTCACCAAAGTCCCCAGACCTTGGCAACCACAGGATGCTACATTACTGACAGCTCTCTTCAGTAAACTAGGAGCATTCACTTGCAATTAGAAACTGGAAATCTGCTTCTCTTTTGTCTCTCTGCAAAGCTGGTTAAGTTACACATCAACAGTTTGGATCCATTTTAGTATACTGAACACTTTTTGAAGTTGTAGCCATATTGCTAGAAAAGTGCTTATCAGGTTAGATGGCAAAAAAGGCAGTTTCAGACTGAAGTTTTCAAACTGTATCCCGTTCCAATCACACACTTCTTCCCTTTTCCTGTCGAATGGTTGATGGTTTGGTCTCCAGTCTCAGCTCTCAGCGTCAGGAGGACAGTGTGCAATCACTCCTGGAGTGGGAACTTGCACCTGGCACCTGTCACACCAGCAAGTCCATGCACATGCCCAGCCCCAGCCTCAGTGTAACTGTTATCTTAGCCAGCTGTAGAACTTCAGCTCATACCGTTTATTACAAAAGTAAAAAAAAAAAAAAAAAGGAAAAAAATATAGTATTTTCAACAAAACAAAACAAAAAAAAACTGGCACAAGTAACATACTCATGTTAATGTTTGTAAGAGGCAAGTAAATACTCTTAGCTTCCTAAGTGTTTCGACAGACTTACAGGAACAGCCTCTTGATGTCACACAGGATTCGAGGTTAACACCCAGCACTGTGTTAGTGGTCAGTCTAGTTCTGTATATTTAAGTAACAATATATATTAGGGAAGTTATATCCAGACATTGGATTTAGTACAACAAGTTCATAGCAATAAAAAGTAAACTCTGTATAAATCAAATTGTGGTTTTTTTCCCTTCAGCATTAAGAGCACAGCATATGCTTGGTATCTCTAATTTCTGGTAGTGTGTCCATGTAAAACAAGCATACTGTGTACAAAATCAAAGTGCCATTTCAGTAACCAGAGCAGTTGGTTTGCTTTGACAGAAGGGTGGTTTGTGTGACCACGGACAGAGCTCTGTTACAGCAGTGGGGACATCCCCAGCCCATCTCTCCAAATGAAATGCTACATGAAAGAAAACACAAACCAACTTTTCAGCACGTCCCCCTCTACACATTCACCCTCTTTAGGTCACCTTCCCAGTTGGGGTTGGCTGCACCTGCAGCACAAGTGGTTGGAACTAGTGCCTTGAAAGTGTTTTTTTTTTTAAAAACCTCCAGAGGTGTAAGGCAGGAATCAAATTTAGCTTGGTAGCTAAGATTTAGTTACAAAAAAAAGTAGGAAAAAAAATGACAGCGAGTGTTCTGTAGCACATTTCATTCTGGGAACATGATCCGTCACCCACCACTCTTCATAGGCTCGCCTCTTGGCATTAAAAAAAGGCAGAAGCTATCAGGATTTAAAATTAAATACAAATTGCCAAACTACTGTTTTTCAAATAAAACCAAACAGTGACTGTTTGTACTACAGTGCACAATAAGTTCAAGCACCTTCTAAAGACACATCACACGCTGTGCCAGGCACTTGGAGCTAAACGAGTTCAGTTTCTCCCTTTGTCAGCTACACCAGAAAGGGCACCCACACTCTTAAGACTTCTTTAAAAACTAAAACAAGCTTTAGAACAAGAATAAATTCCCACGGTTCTTAGTGTTTGGCCTGGAATTCTCCAATGTAAAGTAGTCTTTTAAAAGCAGTGGCTGTGTGCCCCGTGTGAGGCACGGGATTTAACGACATTGCTCCTCTCCAGTCAATCCAACATTCTGGTTTCTTGCTGTCCCAAATCCTTCTCCCCTTCCAGGGTCCATCCCCTCCCCAGGCTTCTTTCACCCAATTAATGCTGTTCCACCACCACCCCCAGCACTCCCAGAATACAATGCATTTGCCAACATCCAAGTAGCCAATTCCAGTAACTCTGCAGGAAGGTTTCAGTTCTCCTCCTGGCCTCGTGTGCAGTCAGTAGTACTTTAAAAAGGATTCTCCACTTTGCTTCTCTGTGTTCTTCCCAACAGGCAATGCAGCTGCACCTGCTTCACCTCCCAACCAAAAGAATTGCCCTATAGAAACTCTAAATGGTTATCTTATACAGAGGGGTTTTATATGCAAACTTCCTGAATGTGCACTTTTGACTGGGACAAGGCAATGATGGAGTAAGCTCATTTCCCCTGCCCCGAGAAAACTGATAGCATCTGCCATAGCAGAAAATTCCTGGTCTTATCAGATCACTATACATAGTTATTTGGTCATTTACAGATGCATTTGTGCCGTGCTATCAAGCTTCATTCTCTGTTGGAGGAGAGTTTGTTGTTACCATGGGGTCCGGCTTCCGAGTGATCCTGTCCAGCTCCTCCTGAGCGTTTGCCAAAACTGTCTTTTGTCCTGAAAGGAAAGAGGACATGGTTGAAGCAGTCAAGTTGCAGTTAAATGTTTTAACCAATAAGTAAAGTCTTCATAAAAATCACTTTGTTATTTCTTGTTATTCTGGCACCTCCCCAAGACGTGGCACAACACAGGGTGTTGCCTGTGTAAAGACTGATAAATACTAAGGTTTAGTTCACTTTAAAAAGAGATGAAATGCTGACTTCCACAGCAGCATAAAGCACAGAAATACCTGTGATGTGTTTTATAGCAAATAACATTTTAAAAATAACCATATTTGGGATTTTTCATAAAACCCAACCATACACAATTCTATTATTAGCACTTTACCCATAAGGAATGTGGGACACCTGCTACAAAAAAATCACCTTTGGTTGCACTTGTACTTGCTGCACTTCAACTATCAAACAACTAACAGGAAGAACTCTTCTATCTGCAGACAACATTTCCCTTAAAAAAGGGGGCATGAATTGCATATTCCTGTGGGATCTCCAAGCAGTCATTTCAAAGGACTCCTCCAATTGCAAACAGACACTCTGAAGCATTTCACGGAAAGGCATATCTTACATTTTCATATTAGACTCCAAACCTTTGAACAATTCCCTGACTGAACCACCAGCTCCCTTCTATCATTCTGAAAATTATAAACCCACAGACAAATTCATCACTGAAATTGGAGCAATGTATCCCAATGTGTGGAGCACACAAGCATTTAAGATTAAAAAGCTATATTTTTAGACAAGAAGTAGATTATATAACCATGTACAGCTTCCTTACATAGCCAAAGAATTTAACAAGCATCTGTTTTCCAGCTCAAATGTGTGTGAAATATTAGGTGGATTTTTTCCAGGGTACATGCTGAAGACATTAAGGCAAGATTTGACTGTTAGAGATTTAAGTGGCTTTTTTCCAAAGTACAGAGACATAACCAAGTTAAAAGGGTACCTTTTTTCAGACTTAAACACTACTCATAAGCCATAGCACTCTTAACAGCACCTATTCAAAGTAGGAGTATTTCAGCAGAATTTCAGAATTAGTGCATCACTGTAACAGAACTTAAAACACAAAACACTTTCATGGAGACTAATGGTACCCTGGAGTTAAAAAATCCTGAGACAACACAACCCACACAGAATTCTCACTTCAGATCTAGAAAACTGGAGGGTTTTTTATGCTGGCTGAAGTGGATCCTGAGGCCTCCAAAACACCACCAGGCAGCTGTGAGCTGAAATAGCTCCGACTGGGCAGGAGGAGCACGGCCAAGCTGTTCAGGGAGATGTGGGATAACCCAGCCAGCCCCTTCCCACCACCTGTCTGTAAGCACATGAACATTCCCCTCAGCTCTGCATCAGTGCTGCTGGATTCCAGCTCCCCACTCATCTGTCAGGGCTGGGGAGGGCCCTGGGCACTCAGATGTGTCCTGTGCAGGAATGGAGGGGGAAGGCAGCCTTGGAATTTGCAAGAATCTTCTTGTGAATATAAATGAAAAGTTATTAAGTCTAGAAGTCCATGTGAAGCAAAAGAATCCACCACAGAAACTGCCAGCTGAAGTTCTTTGAAAGATCACGGTCTAGACATCAAAGAGAGCCAGGCCAGAAATCTAAAGGCAGACAAAATGCTTGAGGAATTACAGAGCATGAGAAATGGACATGAGACTGCAGCATCTGCCCAGATGAGAGAGTCCTCTCAGGTAAGAATTGACAGAGCAGACACCAATCCATCATTGGGCTGACCAGACATCCACAGTGTCTCTCATGCTGTGACAGAACCTCAACATTTCACCCTCAGGGTATTCATAGCTGGGAGAGAAACAGATGGTCTCTCTACAGCTAAATATTTTTGTCATCAACTTTCTGAAAACCTAGGGCTCTTCAAACAGTTCAGACACCTAAAATGCCTACAAAGACAATTCTAGCACATTTCCTCACACAGAGGGTGCTGCTGTAAATAAGGCTTTCTCCAGGATATCCTCCACAGGAGAACAAGTCATGACCAGCATACCTCCTAAAGCCACTGAGAGCTCTCCCACCCCAGCATGAGCACAGTTCCATCTCCCACTGCTTGCACAGGAGCTGGGAGCACAGCAGCTGACAGGGAACAGGCACGGTCCGGAGCCAAAGCCTCCGTTCTGTTCCCAAAGTCAGGAATGAGCACGAGCTGCCAACTTGATGCAGCCAAGAAAAGCCCACTGAGACCCTGAGATCACTCAAAGTCCTTCCACCCCAGAGAGAGAAGGGCTGCACCAGTTACATCTGCAGGGAGACATTCCTGGAGTGCTGCATGCAGTGTTTAATCACTCATGTCCAAGGGAACATCAGCCAGGGGTGGAACTGAGGAAGAACAAACTCCTAAAGGAGACAGCTCAGCCTCCAGCACAAGAATAACTTGTCTAATTTAGTCTAACAAACCCAAGGCAGTTCAGACAGGATGCATGATGGCTGTCTCTAGATGTTTCAGGAGATAAATGACCTATTTAAATTAGAAGTTAATGCTGACACGAGGGGAAAAAAAAGTAAATAAAAAGGGCACACAAAGCCATTTGTTATCTTTAAAAACTCCTGGAAGGCACGTGATGTTCTAGAAGACTGAAAGAGGGAAGAGTAAAGCCCAAGACAGACCAGTTAGGTTTTATTCTAGTGATTCTTCTAGAAATTGCAATCAAGTTTTAGGTGCTTACAAACAATCAACATGGATCTATTACCAACAAGTTCTGTCAAGCCACCCAAGTTTTTTTCTATGACAGGTGGAGAAGGGAGAAGTGGTTGATGTCACATCTCACATAATCTTCATATAAATAAACTAGAAAAAACCCAGTCTTGGCATTTCAGAGAAATAATGTATTCTAATTCCTAAAATTACCCAGTAGTTATCCACAGTACTGGTCAATACTTTTATTATCAATCTGCCCTGTCCAGCTGTTGGAAGATATCAGATACCAGGTAAGCAGCCTGAAGGGACCACACAGGATTTTGAAAGACAGGATTGGAGGAGAAAAGTTATTTATATAACTCATGAAAGTTGTGCATCAGTGACAGAACAGCAAACAATGGTTAAGCAAACACAGAACCCTTTGAAACACTGAGGCAATCTGAGACAGCTGGAAGGGACTTTTGGGACTGCCCAGGAGGCACAAACTGCACTGAAGTGGCTGAATTGTTATAAAACTCTGCTCAGGGTGGCACAGGTGACAGAGCCCAGGTCACACTGAGGCCTGAGCAGAGGCACAATCTGCAGCACAGATGAAGAGCCCACTCAGGGCACACAAAGCCCTGTCTGACACACCAAAACAAAGGGCACCTGAGCACAGCCCTGGCCAACAGTCAGAGCATCAGAACATCTCCTGTGCACGAGCCTGGCTTTGTCACGGGCAAAGGGACCAGCCCTCAAATGCTGCACAGACCCCCAGCTCCATCCAGCAAACAAACAGGTCTGGAGTAAGGAACACTGGCTGGACAGAGAAAAAAGAGCTATTAAGTACTGGAATAAGCTTCTATTGCCATGACATTACAGCTCCTATTTCAGAGTTTGATTGCTTTTTAATCACTAGCCAGCCACACCCCAACATCTGATTTTGCTTCAGATAAAAAGCATGGATGAAATAACACAAAACATTTCTAATTCTATTTCTGGGAACCCAGTTAATGTGACATTGTGGTCAGCAGCAACAAAAGGCTGCCTTTGAAGCAGGACTGCACATTCTGGCACTGTCATCTCTCATGGTCTGTCACTTGACTGACCAGTGTAAAAAATATACCCAGTTAGAGCAGTGTGGGCCAAATAAAACATTAAAACTCTGCAAAACAAGCTGCAATAACAACAAGTCCAATACCTGATTTCTTGGCTGTGCTTTGCACTCCTCCAGCCCCAGGACTTCCAGGAGAGCCAGTCTTTTTGCTCAAGAGGCTGTTAAAGAAACTAGCCAAGACACCTTCACTTGCAGCATTATCTAAATAAGAAACAAAAATATATGTGGATCACACAGAGCACTTGGAGCTGGTAAATGACAGCACTTATTTTTATATACATATAGACAACTCTCTTATTAATCAAGGAAATAAACCTGAGATATGAGAGCCTGTCCTTGCTCAGAGTGAAGACACTGGTGCTGTGCATACTTTGGCAGTCAGAGATGACTGAAAATGTTACTGCTTCTCTGGGGGGTGTCATAACATTTCAATCTCAATATTTCAGATTTTGGGGTTTTCCCTAAATGCAGAAGCCAAGAACAAAAGTATTAAGGATTGCTAAAGACTGACAAACCCATTACCAAACTGCCCAGATGTTCCAGAGCAGCCTTTCAGGCCACGGCACTTGCCCCGAATCAGAGGTGGGAAATGCAGCCAGCAGTGCACTCGGCCCCTGTAAGGGAGTTACTGCACTCGGCCCCTGTAAGGGAGTTACTGCACTCGGCCCCTGTAAGGGAGTTACTGCACTCGGCCCCTGTAAGGGAGTTACTGCACTCGGCCCCTGTAAGGGAGTTACTGCACTCGGCCCCTGTAAGGGAGTTACTGCACTTGGCCCCTGTAAGGGAGTTACTGCACTTGGCCCCTGTAAGGGAGTTACTGCACCACAAGGGCACAGAGCAGCACTGGCCCTGCCGGGGGACAGCAAAGAAACCCCTCCAGAACGAGGAGCTGCATTCAGGGCTGAGGAAGGGGAAGGTGTCATTTCCAAGGCACTTCATCTGCCACAGAAAATGACGTGCCAGAGAGGGTTTGGAGGAACAGGTTTCACTGTGGATTCCAGAATAATGATCTGCAGTATAAACTGTGTGTAGTTTAAAGCAGTCTCCACTCTGATAATCCAGCTGATGCATAATAAATGTGCTTCATCAACTGAAGGAAATCACAATATATTTGATCTGTGTCTCACTGCTTGGCAGGAACAGGACTCTAACTTCAATCATATAAATGACAAGAAAAAAAAAATCAAGCCTGAATTATGTCATAAATTCATTTCTGTTATTAACTAACTCTACCACTAGTGAATAAATTCAGATATCTTTCTACAAAATCAGATTCTTTTTTCAGGGAAGTAACACATGCTTAAAACAGTAAAATGCTTCTTCATACTTTTAATATTTGGATCTGGTTTCTTAACTGATGTTATTGGTGAGGCACTGGGGACGTTGGTGGGACCAGCTCTGCCTTGAGTTCTTGGGGATCCTGCAGGGCCTCTTGCAGGAGATTCCTTAAAAAAGTCCAAATCACACAAATTAGGGAACGTCAATGAATTAGTTACATGAAGCAAATGTAACATTACATACAAATGACTTTGTCAGCCTTTCCATTAGCACTGCAGTGCTGCACACTGGAGAAAGAAAACAAACAGCCAAAACACCAGGAAAGCTGGGGATGTGCCTCACTAAAAGAAAGGCTGAAGGAATCCCTGTAGGAATATTTCAGTTATCATCAGATATTTCTACGTTTCCACTGTGAATCAGAACAAAGCAATTTATAAGCAACATTTTAAAGTATTGCCTTATTATTTGCTTTGTATAGTTTGGGGAGATTATGTAGGTTAGATTGAAATTTTAAAAAATGAACCTCTACAGGTTGGAATCATTCCCTTTTCCCAAACACCTCCTCCTCTTTTCCCTGGATGTACTTACTGATGCTCTCGTAGGCGTTGCCGGCTGTTTGGCAAGGAACGACTGCAGAAACAACACAACAAGGGTATTAAACACATTTCACAAAACAGAAAGGAATAAAATTGATTTTTTCCCTGATATTGACAGGATTCCTCTTTGGGATTTATGTACTTCCCAGCTCTAGAGGAGTGAGCTGCAATGAATAAACAAGCTTTGGTCCTTTGCCCCGTCCAGCCAGCCCAGAACGCTAAGCCAGAATCACAGACACCCCATCTGGAACCTCCAGGATATTTATAACCAAGAGGGAAGTATTTATAGGTGTTCAAACAATAGAGCAGTAAAAAAAAGAAGTTACTGCATAGCCAAATTTGACACCTTAAAGCCTTTCAAGCCTCTGGCTGGAAGAAAACTGCAAAGTTCAGAAGGTGGGTTTTAAAAGCATCTGTATTGTACAGATCAACCACGTGGTGAGATTCCAAACTGTCCTCTTCCCCTCTGACAGGTAAATTATTCTGCTCTCAGCATATCCTCCTTTCACCTTGCCAAGAGAAGTGGCCATAATTTTTACTGTGAAAATACAAGTCTTACTTCCCAATTACACCTGAATTTGCACAGCTGAAAAACAGCTACCAAGTGATTTGAAGGAGGGGTGAAAAACTGGAGGTAATAACCACAGAGAACTCAAAGTGAAATCTTATTTAGTAAGGACTTATTTTCATTCTTCCATTCTTACCTGCTGCTTCATAAGAAACACTTGCTCATCTTCTGCTGCCAGCTCCTTGTCATGGACTAACTGTCAACCAAAACATTTTGTTATTAGAAGTGAATTCTTTCCTTTATTTTTTTTTTAAATTCTTCTTTCACATTTAAAATAATATATTAAATAAACTGTCATTTAAAAAAAAAAGGATAAAAAATAGTGGAGCAGACTAACACTGCTGGCAGCCTGTGGGCAGAAAGATCCCAGAAAGAAGAGCACTTGGTAAGCAACCACACCAGCATCCCTTCCAAACCTGAGATTGCCTTGCTTTGCCTTTACTCTGCAGCCTCAGTACCTTGTGTGTACCGGTGTAAATTGCTGAAGTCCTAAATTTGCCATTTTCTAAAAGTGTAATTGCCCCACACATGCAAAAATGGTATAATTTGAAATATAATATTTCTGGACTGCCTTTCATTCAGTAAGTGAATTTGATTGCAGTATTTTAACTAACTGGGTAATTGAAAGCCTGATGTTTCACACATTTGGATTTATAAAAGAGGTTGCATTTCTATGTGGAGCTCTTCAATAATAACAGTCAGCAGCAGCCATTCAAGCCAACTGCCCTTATTTGTTGGGGGGCAGGGAAGAGTTCACCCCTTTTTACCTTTCTTACAGGAGGTTTTACAATGAAGTCCTCGTATGCATCTTCTGGTTTTACTGTTGTGAAGTTTTCATGCAAAATGGCAATTTTCTTCTCGTTGTCCCAACCAGCAGGTCTACAAAAAGGAGCAAAGCTTTGCCTTTTCAGTCACAAAAAGCTCTTCTACAGAGACCATTTATTCACTGCCCTCTACTTAAATTAGGCCATTTTCTCCCAGGCCAGTCCTAATTCTCAGCTAAATTGCAAAGATACAACACCCTGAGCCAAGTGACCCAAGGAATATTCACTACGTTGTGGTTTTTTTTCAACTGGGCATTTCACAAGACTCACACACCAAGCTTTTAAACAACATTTGGACACACATGTGACATGAAGTGCTGATGCAAGCAGGGTGAAGCCACGCTGCCTGTACCAGTGACTTACATAAAAACTGCATCCTTTTCTACCACTAAGGCAGGTGTGGTAAACTGAAAACCGTATGTTTTATGTACAATGTACTTATACAGCAGGTCAAGGTTCTTCTCCTCCTTAACTGATGTATAAATCAAGGCAGCCCCATCTGAGTAGCTAGTTAAGGAAAATGATGCAGGATATAGTTAATAAATGATAGTAATAATTTCAAACCAGGAGCTTATAGACTTATATACACTAGATTTAGTTTGGAGAAGCAGTTCAAGGCAAAGCCTGGAGCCATTTAATATTGAGGGAGAGGAAGGGGATAGAACAGGACAAGACTCGTGATGTTTTTCTTTGACATCCATCCTCCCAGGCACTTAACTTGGGAAGTCAAACACCTGAGAGACTGCTGAGATCTCAGCTTTACATGGGAATTGCAGATTCCAGGGGAAACTCAAACAAATCCACCTCACAAGACATAAGACAAAAGAACAAAACCTCCAAATCCCACGCACAATTTAAAAACTATAAATAATTTTATACACCTCTCAATATTTTCAAAACAACACCTGCTACACACACTAATCTTGAAGTGCCATTTCTTGCATTAACTTTCCGTGCAATTTAACATTCAAACAGATTTTCTTGCTGCCAAGTGGCAGTGACTGCCTCGGGCACAGGAAGGATACACTGTAAGCAGAATCTCCGGATGTGTGACTGGATGAAGTCAAAGTGCTCTTCCCTGTAGTCGTGCTCCTTCTCTAGTACACTCACTGCATCACACTGCCAGGGGGGAGAACAAACCCAGGAGAGACAATCATTTCATCCCAGAGCACCTTAAAATATCATCTTTAATATCACACCCCCCTCACATCTCCCCTGAGCCGGTGGTTTGAGGATGCCCCCAATAAACGGACAATAAAATCGATGGCGTTACTGTTGATCTCAAATTCATTCTGTGTGTCTGCAGGAAGATGCCTCCTGAAAGAAAAGGAATCAAACCTTGCCACAGTAGCCAACAGCAGCAGGAACTCACTTTTGTACACACCACCAGCACAGGAATGCCCAGGTTGTGGGTCAGCACATTTTCTCCGAGGGGCAGGGAAACGTGTTCGTCCTCCTGGCCAGAAGAAGGGCCTCTCCTCTGGGGGGACCCCTGGTAGCCTTCTTCAGGTTCTACATACTCCTGGAACTCCTTTATGACTACAAAGAGAGAGGTTTTCTTAGGGTGCAACAAAGGAAGGAGTTCTTTTTAAGCCATAATTAATCTATGACTAACTAGAACTCTCAGTATTTTTTTATTTCTATGCTGTGTGAGAACTGAATGCATGTGAGGCTCTGTTGCCCCTTCAAACACAACAATCCTCCTCCATCAAAACTGACAGCAAACGAAATCAGGTGGAATTTGGAGCCATTACAAATAATCCAAATGAGCTGCAAGAGCTGCAGTATGTACAGATGCACATTCCCCAACGTTTCATTACAGGGAGCTGGCACAAGAAAACATAAATGTGGTTTAGCAACGCAGCCTCCTGTTCAAAACTGCACAGTCTACAGTGTTTAGTTGATATATCAAGTTGTGAGATTCTTGTGGAAAAGAAGAGAGCTCTAGTCCAGAGAAAATCTTAAAAACCCCAATCTAAATATAGACCATGAGACTTCCAATCACCAATTCAGTATAACCCAGTGTCCAAGGAAACTAAAAACAAAGGCCTGCCGTTGATTTCAAGGTGGGGAGGCAGTGCCTTCTGGTGGATAGGGAACAGCAGTGCTCAGAGATGCCTCCCTCCAGGACAGCCATGGCAAATCACAATTCCACTACACACTCTGCACATTCCAGGTGTGTACTGGCTATCTCACCAACAGCAAATTCCAGTGCACTTAAGTAGAAAAGGGTTTTTTTAAGCACTTACTTTTGTTAACTTTACTATTACTCAGACTCTTTCTAGCTCAGAACAGAGAAAAACCCATTGAAGTGTACCACAGCAGTTTAGAAAAGTCACCATTTACCACTCCCACAATGGTTCAGACAAACCCCTGTGACTCAATCACATGTAAAAGAATATTTGTCAGTCCTGCTCTCAATTTACTCCAGCACTGTAATCAGACAACATTAATTTCCTAGGTTTTGTTCATATCAAGGCAAAAAACTCTTTTCTTTACTCAGATCTCAGTAACATAAACCCCTTCAAATTTGGGAAATAAAGGCCTGTCCTGAAAACAGTAAGACTTGACCACATAACACAAAGATGCCCCGAGAATTTTGCTAATTTAAATAGTAGAAACTTCAGAAGTCTGATGGCAAATCCACAGGAATTTCTGCTGAATGGGAATGAAACTACAGTCCTAGGGAGCCAAGAGTCCCAGCTCTTCCCTCTCCCCAAGACAGGGGTACCAACCCCTCAAGCTTTTCATGGACAAAGTTCCTTGTGTGCCCAAACAACTCCTACAATTATTTCTTTTTCCTTTCTTCTAGCAGGCTCTGAAGATTTGCTCCTCCACATAATGCATATTAAGGAATCACATATTAAGCTCTGGATTCTTGACAGTTGTCTTTTCTGCTTTGCTGTCTGAAATAGCAAGGCAAAATTTACATCTTCCCCGAAATAATTATTCAAATGTGTGTTATTTAAATAATGATTTACCACAACTGAGCTTGAATTAAATTAGAATATTTGACATGATGTGTGTGAATTCACATCAGCTGTTAGCAAGGAATTTGCAGAGCAGCTCAGTGACAGGAGTGCAGACAGACCCTGGGTGTATCCTGAACAATTCCATTTCTTTAGGGCAGCCTGTTGTTCCCCCTGTGTGTCCTGCTCCCGTTCTGGAAGCTCTAACTCCAAGGGAAGTTCCTCATGTTCCAGGAAGCCAAGAGTCAGTACCTCAAAGAGCAAACACAGCCCAAGGGCTGGCTGGAGAAAGGCCCCACAACTCTGAGAGCAAAGCCAAGCAGTCCAAAGTCCAGCTCCAAGGAGAATGGGGAGCCAACAGAAGGGGTTCTGGAAGCTCCTCAGACCTGGGCACTGCAGGAAGAACAACCCAGCAGCACTTGGGGATAATCCTGGAGAGTGTTTCTACCAGAACTGTGGTGTAAGAGCCAAGGAAAGCTCTGCAGCCACTCAGCTGAGCCACCCAGGGTGGAGGAGCAGGAGGAAGGGACCATGGCCACGGCTCTGCTGAAGGCAAGAAACACCTGCAGCCACGAGGGTGGTGCTGCAGGGGGTTTGCTGGATGGATTCAGCACATCCCATCTCTGTGCTCTGCTCCTGTGCTCTGCCTGCCTGCTTTGCACTTTATTAGCCCAGTTCTGCCACATCTGGGCTATTGCACCCAGTGGTTGTCCATGTTCCAAGGGGCAGGATGGAAGGTTGGGCACACCAGGTGCTGACACAGCCCCGAATCAGGGGATGGCAGCAGAGCTGTGCCCGTGGGGAGCTCAGAACCCAACCCTGCTCAGCCTCCACCCCACCAGGGGTTCCTTTGGTGCTTTGCAGATCTCTAAGGTGCTACACTGAAAGGTCTTCGAGCTCCTCAGACCTGGCACTACAGCTCTGCCATGGATGTCACTGGCTCCTGCACAGAGTGCACTCTCAGGGAAGGCTGAAACATCTCTCAAAACTAAAATTTAACTGTACAACCTCCACCTTTATCTGGATTTCCATAAAATTTGCTGTCCCAGAAAAGCACAAGTTGACAAGTTTCCCATTCCCCCCAAAAATCCCCTCCCATAAAAACCCCAGAACTTTTTCCATTCAAAACTGTCACATTTTACTTTTTTCCCCTAATACAACCTGATGATCCAACCCAGGTGGGTTCAAGTTTAAACTCTAGCTCATGTGCTGCAGGCACAAGGCTTTTGGGAACATAATATTTAACATTCAGAAAGGATCTCAGCTATAAAAATCCACCTGAAGGCTCACAGGCCAAACAGATCACACTGATGGCTAAAGGGAACCTCAGGAATACAGCAGACAGTGTTTGCAAGGTTTACACGCTCCAGCAGAGAGAAAACAGAACAGAAGCCCCAACCAGCAAGGATCAGTCTGAATCTGTGCTTCACCTGAACAGGAATGCACGTTCCTAAGGGCTTTTCCACTGATGGAACTGATTTGGGAGTAATTCAATATGGAAACAGAAAAAAATTCAAGAAACATTCAGAACTATTTTAGGAAAAAAAGCAGCTGCAGGAAACAATATTGCAGCAATGACTGCTTGCCAGTGCCAGGCTCTGTCCTGCCATGGATATGCCAGGAAAGAAGGTTAATTTATACAACATTCCTGAAGTCACAGGGTAGGAATGGCTGCAGTGAGAGCCAATTAGCTGGACCAGGGTCACAGTCTGAGCTCTGAGATAAACAAGGGCAAAGAGACCTTCTGGAAGACAAGCACACTGTGGGAATGGACCTGGCTTGGATAGCACAGGAAAGCAAACACCTCACTCCATTAATGAGCTTTGTCACCATTTTTAAGTAAGAGAATCTGTCATTTTATGGAGTTAAAAGAACAAGAATACCTGGCTGTAAAGACTTACACTTCTGCTCCATATGCCTCATCTCTTCTGGAGGGATTTTCATCTTATCAATGTGTTCCTGCAAGACACTGGCCCATTTCTGTAGAGACTCCATAACAGTCCAAGGTCTCGACATATCTGCCACAAACACTACCAGGGTGTCCTGCAGGGACTCTGCAGACACCGCAAACTTCAGCAGCCCTTTGTGGTACAGGTCCCCATCCAGGATCCAAACGTTGCAGCGAGTGTGGTCTGAAAGGAAAAGGTGCAGCTGTGACTCAGTAGGGGTCAAGGCCTGGCTTTGCCAGTCTAGGCTTAAACAGAGGGGTGCATCAGTGTTAAACACTTGCTGTTCTCGGGCTTTTCCTGAGAGCAGCTGACACAAGTGTTGTAAATCCTGCACAGGAGCCCCGAGTTTGAACCGTGCAAGTGAAAGCAGAGGACGTGTGACACAAAGTGTGGGGCTGAGGGGGGACCTGCCCGAGGTGTCCCCCAGACACACGAGGTGTCCCCCAGACACACGAGGTGTCCCCCAGACACAGGAGCTGCTCTGACCCCCTGGAGACACCTCCAGCACAAATAAGCTGCAAACAAGATCCAAGCAATAAGCAGCTTAGCTTTCCAGCACAGGAGTGGGAGGAGCAAACACAGGATAAACTTCAACCTACCCAGCAAGGTTGTGCTCCTGCTCTTAATTCACACTGACTTAACTCTGGCCATTTACTTGCAGGCTCCTCACAGGATGAGTACTGGAGAAATGCCTTGGGGGTTTAGCTTTTGTGTCTCTCCCCCAAGTGTTTTAACAGTGGCTGGACATTTTTTTTGTTCAAAGGGGATCAGCTGGCATTTTACCCCAAAACAGAACTCTTGGCAAGAACACAAAACCTGAAAACGAAGCTTCATTCAGGAGTGATGTATCAGATACCATCAACAACCACTTCTGTCTAAATAAAGAGGAAAAACTAAATTACTTTATCCTCAGGATTTTTCCTCCTGAAAAGGAACATTGTTTCCATCTTCTAGGCTCTTCCTAAGTATTCCCTACAGTACTCCAGCTATGCAGAGGGAACAGTGACTCTCTCTTGCACTACACGCACATGAATTCCTGAACAGACAGATCTGCAAACCAATCACTGCACAGCCCAGATTTTCAAAACAGCCACTGAGCTTTATGATTATGCTGTCTCACTGTTCTTCCCTGCCCTGAGTCTTTACACTTCTCAAAAATAAATCCAGTTACTGTGGCTATCATAACTTAATTCTAGGAAGCAATCCACCAGGATGCTCCTGGCTCCAGAAAAAAGCTTGATTAAGAGATCTGGAAGGAGGAAAGATTACAGACATACACACAGTACCCCTTTAATCAGCTCCTGGACAAAACTCCTGAACAGCCCAGTTCCATCAGGGTGCTGCACATGAGCAGTCTTCATTCAGCATTTGTTCTGCTGCTACTTAAGCTGGGCTGTCCTAAGACATTCCAACATCAGCCATCCCACAAACACGCCACAGCCACACTTGAGGACACTTCCCACTGGTGTCCCACGGGACTGTCACAGCACTGTTCACATCCAAAGCTGTCAAAGAGCTCTGAGGACAGAGGGAGGGTCTGGCAGAAGTTTGGAAAACAGAAAGCAAGGTGGGGTTTTCATCACGTGAACCCATTTACACATTTCCCACTGCCCAGCAGCAATGAAACATCTGGGCAGGGCTGTCACACTGCATTCTAGAAACATGCTGTGCACATTCCCAACACAGCAACCTGCCAGGGAATAACAGCCAGGGAGCCTCCATGAGCTCAGGGCTATAAATAGCCATGGACTGTGACTGTGCACTGGGTCTCCTTGGAGCATGAATGAAACTTTAAAAAACATAACCAAGTCTGCCTACAGCTCATCAAAGTTCACAGCTCTGACCAGCACTTTGATGGATTCTCCTGTGGGGAGTACTTGGATTGCAGAAAAGACTCTCACACCTTGGCAAGGAACAAAAATGAATAAATATCCTAATTCACGGCTTCTAAGTCTCTTTTTAAAGCCAGTATCTAAGGGTTTGTTTCCTAAACACCTTTGTCCCACTTGAGACTTTCATTTTTGCTTAACACCTGGAATGGGACACAGGTGGAACTAGAAAGCATCTGGAACTCTCACTCCAATGAAAGCAATCTGCCAGGAAGACTGGAAGCCTGTCACTCACACCAAAAGATGGAACACTGTATGAAAAGGAAAGGTTTTGCTCTTTTCTTACAGGATATAGGTATGTCTTGTGATTGACATTTGCTAAAATGTAAAACATCCTTCAAAATACAGCGCTGGTTGCTCACAGTTTGGCAAGGACTTGATGGCAAAGTCAGCTTTGCCAGCACCACATCGAGCTCCTGATTAGTCATGAATGTCAACTGGGACTTTCACAGTGGCCATGACAAGAGACACCAGGGCAGAGCAAACCATCATCAGATCCTGTTGGAAAAGCAGGTGCTACTTAATACTGCTAAAATCCCCCTCTAAGTCCTGTCCATATCCCATTATCCCTTTAGATTTGCCAACTTTGATGAATTTTACTGCAGATGGTGGACTGTGTGAACTGCAACTGCATCTGCATTTATTCCAAAGGCACAATTAGATATCCCTTGCCCAAGCTGTGAAGAGAAGTTAAAAAAGGAGAAAACCTTCAAAAGAACCCCTTTAAAGATGTTGACAAAAAAAGACAGTTTTCCCATTAGAAACCACTGTAGCAGCACGACTTGGTTCAGTGTGGAACAACCAGTTCAACTGGAACATGAGTATGACACGAGTGAGGCCAGTCCAAACCTGAGGCAGAACTCCAGACTGCTTGATTTTGTTACAGGTAAGAATTGAGCAGCAGAGTGGCTCAGCTTCCCTGGCACAGGCAGGACAGCTGGGTTGCATTTGCAATCTGAGGCAGCTCAGAAAGTCCTGAGGTGTTTGTCATTTCCAGCTGACCCAGCAGGATGCTGCAGAGCCAGTCCTTGCTGTGCTGCACATCCCTGGTGTAACTCTGCCCCATCACTGATGCTGAAAGCTCCTCTACACACACAGGGCCTTTCAGGAAATTCTGCAGAGCTCCTCTTCTACCTCTTACAAACTGAGATGCTCAGTCCTCCAAAGCAGACTCACCAGCTCAGACACAAAACATCTGCTCATCACAAAGACAGGCCTCACCCTGAGCAATTCCACCAACCCAGGGCTCTCAGGCCGGGGCTCCAAGCAGTGAATATTCCAAGTTAACTTCCCAGCCAGGGCTGTAAGTGCTCTCCTGCAGATGAACCATGGGGTCACGTTCAGGAGCTGCCATGTGCTCCAGGGGTTATTTACCTGGGCATTTAGGACAGTGCTCTCTCTCAGGCACCTCCAAACCTCTTCTCAAACACATGCCTTGGGCAGAATTTGGGATGGTATCCCAGGAAAGAGACTTTTCAGGCAGAGATTCAGGAGCAGACTTGGATTCTCAGTTCCCCTGAGCCCTGGGGGGCAAAGCCCTGCATGGCACACTGAACCAGGAGCAGAGCTGGAGCAGCTGGATGCCAACACAGGGGCCACGGGCATTTGGCCCCCCATGTGACACCCAAAAAGGGACAAGCAGACTTAAAACACTTTCAGACTCAGGAGCAAGGACAAACTCACTCCCCATCCCTTCCTGTCTCCAACCTTCCCCAAAATAGGACTGCTCTGATCATTAGACCTGCACTGGCCACTGCCCAGAAACCAGCAGGTGACAGGGAAACCCAAAACGTCACTGCCTGAGCCACAGGGGCCCTTCAAGAAAAAAGGGCCTTCTGTGCATTAGTTTAAACTCCCTACAAGAGAATAAGAACGATTTAATCCTTAGGGCAAAAGTAACTGTAAACTAAGATGTGCATCCAGCTATTGAGAGAAATTCTACTTTAAATGTAGGAGAAGCCAAGTTCAAATATCCGTTAAAGAGGAAGGGGGAAGGGGAGTGACGGGATAAGAAACAACACAGATTTTCCTTAAGATTTCCAAAGGGAGGTGGGAGGTAGATAATGACTCAGCACTATGACCAAAATATTTCTCCTGGGCAGAATATTATTCTTCATTTCAGAAGAGTGGAAGGCAAAGAGAGCAAACAAATCTCCCACCACTTGGGAAAGAAGTTGAGAAGATCTTCTCATGCCACTACAGAGTTTCAGCTACCAGTGTTGATCAGACAGCCCTGGAAATCCCTGTGGTCTGGTCAGGGATGGGCTGGGGGATAATTAAATGCAGATATCCTCAACCCCCTCAGTGTGGCAGTGAGCTCCTGAATGCCTGTGCTGAGTTTCCTCACGGCTTCCAAGAACTGCAGGTCAGTTCTACAGGCTTTGTTCCCAAATCTGTATCTAAGCACACACATCTGAAGCACACAGAGTTTAAAAACCAAATCCAAACCTGTCCTAGAGAAGGAGGAGTGTTATCTCAGCCTGCTGGGAGGTCCTGACCCACTTTGCTATTTATTTTGCTGCGGGTGACACTAATGAGACAGAAAGGAAAAAGGGATGTATTATTAGATCCTCACACATCCATTAGAAGGATGCATGAAGACCTCAATTCTCCCACTGAGTCTGTAGTCAGTCAAAAAGGTCTCTTTTTTCCCTGCTAGTGCTGCCTGAGTTCTCATGACAGGCCTCTCCTAATCACCTCAAACAGTTCCCACTTTCAGATACTCAGGAATAGCCATAAAATATTTCCAAAGTAGGGATATACTTGAGGTCTGATAGATAACACCAGGAAAAACAGCACAGCAAACATTTTCCTACTGAGAATACCCTCTCCTTTGAAGCTGCCAGAAGCCTGATCACACAGGCTGTCCCACTCCTAATCACAGGCCTTTGATCCCCTGGAGTGTTCCTCCCCAGCTAAGGCAGCCTGTGCAGGAGGGAAGGCACTGACACCCACACCCTGGAGGGGCCAAGAGCGGCTCAGCACTTCAAATTACAGCCCCAAAGATTGTCAGGAACTGCAAGATCAGGAGGCCACAGAAGACACAGGCAATGTACTCATCCTCTCCTTGTGCCTAACTTAGTATCCACAGACAGTTTCCTGCCACGTGAGAGCAGGGCCCATCTCCATAACAACAGTCACATATGGCACTTAATCACTCCTGCAAGGCTCAGTGCATCTCCAGCTCCAAAATGCCAGCAGAGGAGCTGCCTAGGCCACTTGTCTTCAGGAACAGCGATCAGGCACCATCACTGCTTCCCTCTGCGCTCCAAACTCAGAAGGAACTCATCAACAGGGACTGCCATTCTCCTTTTTAAAGACAAACTAACCCAGGGAGTTGAGTCTCCAGCAGCTTGTCCAAAATGACACAAGCAGAGGCACATTTAAGAGCAAAGATAACAAACTCAATCCCCACCTCTTCCTGTCTCCAGCCTTCTCAAAAATAGGACTATTCTGATCATTAGACATGTTTTCTTGTCATTGTCTGCTTCCCATACAGCAGAAACAAGCAATGATCAACAGCAACAAAAAGACAAGGGGTAAAGAGACAAGCTCCAACTTGAGCAAACTAAATACTAGTTCTGACTTTAAGTTCTGTCCTTCACTCAATCAACTCTAACAGAACATCTGTCACAGTCAACCAAAGCTCCACACACAGCCCCTACGAGCAAACACGCAGACCCTGTGCCCAGAAATCCACAGCAGAACTCAGTTCTCAGGGATGTATCACTTACTTTCCACAGTAGCCACTGCAAACGATATCGGAGCTGCTACAAAGTCAACATCAGCAAAGTATCTCCCTGCCAGGGAACTGATCTGAGAGCTGCCCAAGGGGACCTTGTCCTCACATACAGGTCAAGCTGCCAGAACGGCAAGGGGAGGAATTCACCCTGACCGTGGAACACAGTTCACTGCACAGACACGGGTACACCTGGTAAAACACACAGCACAGCCTGGGTGGAACCCAAAACACACTCATGAAACCACAATCACTAACGTGGCATGTCAGCTACTTAATTACAGTAAAGAGATTACGCACTAAGTGAACTTACCATCTCTGTCCTCGTCGTGGATATTCAGATACAGGTATTCCAGTCCTCTGCCTTTCTTGCCGTGCTCTGCTCCCTGTATTTTGGCCATGAGCGTGGTTTTACCTGAGCCATCGTCACCTGCCAGCAAGTTTGTACAAGAAAAAAAAAAAGACACCTTCAGAATTACCTTTAATTTCTTAGAAAAGATTTATTCCCAACTTAATTCATCTGAAGCATTACTGTACATTCCTGAATCATAGTTATTTGTTGTTCTCTTTCAAGCATTCCAGCTTATACAATAAGAACGAAGCGCTAATTTATTCTCTATTATTATTTGTTTAAATGTTATAAATTTAACAGTTTAAATCAAAAAGAAAGTAAATCTAGTGAAGACCAGACCAGAGGTCAAATTACATAACCCAACTGTAACAAACCCATGTGTCAGTCTGTTCACATCACTGTTTTAAACACGCCTGGTTCCGACAAATAAAATAACAACAAACCACCGCCCCAGTGCTCGCATGGGTTACTTACCAAAAACGAGGATGTTCTTGCCCGATGGCAGCTTCGATCTGGACCGTGTGGAGACTTCGCTGAGGATCGAGGACCTGGAAAAGCAGGGAAAGGAGCCGCATTGTCCCGGCACAGACGCAGCCAGAGCCCGTGAGCTCAGCACATCCCCCGGCTGGCACACACCGCATCTAACACACTGAAGGCGTGGCACCTTTCTGGGAAGGTTTTCTCAAACTGAGAAATTGCTTTGCTTCCTCAAATTGAGATATCTCACATTGATTTCTAACACAGAGGCAGCAGCGTCTTAAGTTGCTCTCCGTTACGACAGGCCACGTTACTACAGAACATCACTTCTCAGCTGCTGACTAACGCTCCCTGCAATCGCTGCTGCGTTTCACATACGTTTTCCTGCCGTTCCGCGTATGGTACCAGCGTTACTCGGGGCCAACAAACAAGGCACACGCGGTGCGGTCTCCCGGAGCAGCCCCGCACAGCCGGCTCTGCGGGCCCGCACGGCCCGTTCGGGGCTCCGCTGCCTCAGCCCGGGCCCAGCGCTGCCCCGCGGGCCGGGCCGGGCCCAGGGCCCCGCTCGGCCGGTCCCAGCCCCGCTCGGCCCCGCCGAGCCCCGCGGGCCGCTCACCAGAGGTTCTGCCCCTCGTCCTCCTCGCCGGGCAGCTCGGCCGCGCCCGGCCCGTCCGGGCCCCCCAGCTTCTTCTCCGCCAGCACCGGCGCCATCTTGGAGCCGCCGCCACAAAGAGTGACCTCACCGGGCCCGGCCCCGCCCGACGGACCCTCCGCCCCCGGCCCCGCCCGGCCCGCCCCGGCACCGGCACCGCCCGGCCACCACCCCGACACCGGCACCGCCCCGGCCACCGGCACCGCCCCGGCCACCGCCCCAGGAACAGCCCCGGCACCGGCACCGCCCCGGCACCGCCCCGGCCACCGGCACCGCCCCGGCACCGGCACCGCCCGCCACCGGCACCGCCCCGGCACCGGCACCGCCCCGACACCGGCACCGCCCGGCACCGGCACCGCCCGGCACCGGCACCGCCCCGGCACCGGCACCGCCCGGCTACCGGCACCGCCCCAGGCACCGGCACCGCCCCGGCCACCGCCCCGGCACCGCCACCGACACCGGCACCGCCCCGACACCGGCACCGCCCTGACACCGGCACCGCCCCGGCACCGCCCCGGCACCGCCCCGGCCACCGGCACCGCCCCAGGCACAGCCCCGGCACCGGCACCACCCCGGCCACCGGCACCGCCCGCCACTGGCACCGCCCCAGCACCGGCACCGCCCCGGCCACCACCCCGGGCACCGCCCCGCGACCAGCACCGCCCGGCCCGCCCCGGGCACCGCCCCGCCCTGGGCGGCACCGGCCGGGGGTGCGGCCGCAGCGCCCCCTGCTGGCAGCGGGGCCGCGAGCAACGGGACCGGGACCTGGAACTGCCACCCCCGGGACCTGGAACTGCCCCCCTGGGGACTGGAACTGCCACCCCGGGACCTGCCCCGGGACCTACCCCGTACCTTCAGCCCACGGTAATTCCCTCTGCAGCTCCCGGTACCTGCCCTTGCACCCCCTTGGACCTGTCGTGGTATCTCCACCCCCCGGTACTTCCCTCTGCATCCCCCAGGACCTGCCCCTGCAGATCCCAGTCCCTTGCGCAGTCCCTGCCCCAGCCCAGCCCCGGTGAGCAGCAGCTCAGGCTGTATCCCTGGAGCTGAGTGAATTCATGGACCCAAATCCTTACAGCCCTCACACCCTTGGTTTGTCCAACAGAACTACAGCAGAACGCCGTGGGTTTTGCTCACACACTTCCCTGCGTGGTCTGTCAGTCAGTTCAGCTTCCCAAGGTGCTGAAATCCTGCCCGGGGGGGCTCGAGCAGCCTAAAAGTGACATTGCTGTTTTCATGCAATCTTACTTTTGTGGTGCCTGCTATGTGTGGGTTTCAAAGCGCTTGTGCGAGAAAATTAGTGAGATGATTGAGACTGCACAGTCAATCAAAAGGAGAGCACAAATCCACACAGCAGGCTCCTGGTGCTCCTGGTCTGTGAGTCCTCAGATGACACCAGAACGTTCTGTGGTGTTGTTCCATCACCTTGTGTCACGGCAGGAGCTGGAGCACCAGCAGAGGTGCCCAAAGAGCCTGTGGGAATTTCTCCCTTGAAGATCTTCAGAACCTGTCAAGGCACTGAAGCAACTTGAGTGACTTTGCAATCAGCCCCGCTCCGAGGAGGAGACTGGATTATGGGCTCCACAGGGCCTTCCCAACCTCAATTGTACCTAAGGTTGGGTAAATGGTATGGAGATGTTCTGACGTGTGTCAAGGCAAGATTTATGCTTTTATCCACTTGAGATATAATTTAGGCCAGAATAATATGGATTATTAACACACATTCAGTCAATAGATGAAGTAGCAGCTTGTCTGGGCTGGCTCTGAGTCCTTGGAAAAATACTTGTTGGGGTGTGGAAGGGACCAAATGTCCCTTTTGTGCCCACCCAGCCTCAGGAGTCCTTTGGCTCACCCTGCAGTCACACCAATATTTAGTTTCACTGCTGGCAACAGCTCCACTCAAAGACATCTTTTCCAGATGCTTGAATATTTTAATAATATAAAAACCAAGTTGCAACAGCTGAAAAGATTAGAAGATGCATTTATTGTATCACTGGCATCATCTTTACTGCAGGTCTCTCAGTTTTTGGTTATCTTGCTCATTTCCAAGCATTTAAGCTGCACCACAGTGAAAACCTTGTGCTAATATGATAACTAAACCTTTTCCATGAAAGAGTAACTATTGATTTCTCAGTCCCTTATCAGAACAGGTAAAAAATGCAAATGAAATACTAAGGCTAGCACTGAAAAATCAAGTTACTAAGGCTTTCACCACAAAAGTTGTGTCATTAGCAGGAATGGGGGTTCTGCTCACTTACCTGAATAATACACAAAATATTGTCCAAGTGTGAACAGAAGGCAGATTTTATCAGTACCTGCTGAGTTCAGCAGTGAGTAATTACTGTAACAAAGATTTGCATCCTATATATAGCAGTGTTTTACCAATGTTTTCTGGCACAGATACATTTTTATGCACATACAGCACATTAAAAACATGACAAAATATTTTACCTGCTTTAAACATTTCACTTATTAAGAGAAAACAAATTCAGACACAACATTAACACTTACCAGTTTTGGACATAAAACATTCACTTCAACAATAGCCATTTCATACAAAGGGTAAGGCAAACTACAAAAAGTTAGATCAAAACTTACATGTATCAAACGCTCAAGAAGGTTAAATTAAGTTTAAAAAAATAATTTTTGCTGATAAGCATTTTGTTGCCTATGTATAAAAGAAACTGTCAAATTAGAGTAGATGAAATATTCAGTTATCCCTGGAAAACAGGAGTCCAAGCCAATCTAAATCTCCAAGGGCTTATGTTCTTCTTGCTGCTATAAAGGCTGTTCTTCTCTATTCTTCAACAAACCCCAGGTGCTCTATGACATCATCATTGATGATCTTTGGGGCTTTTTTTGCATCTATAAAATGGAGATAAAAGAGAAAATATCAAAACAACTGCTGACCCAAAGCACTGCACAATTATAGAACACCTTGCAGTAGACAAAGGCTTGCCACTTAACCACTCCAATGGTATCCAAGGCACAGCAGCAGTGCTCCTGGATCCAGAGAACAGCAGCAGTGCTCCTGGAGCCAGAGAACAGCAGCAGTGCTCCTGGATCCAGAGAACAGCAGCAGTGCTCCTGGATCCAGAGAACAGCAGCAATGCTCCCTGGAGCCAGAGAACAGCAGCAGTGCTCCTGGATCCAAGAACAGCAGCAGTGCTCCCTGGATTCAGAGAACAGCAGCAATGCTCCTGGATCCAAGGCAGGGCAGCAGTGCTCCTGGATCCAGAGAACAGCAGCAGTGCTCCCTGGAGCCAGAGAACAGCAGCAGTGCTCCTGGAGCCAGAGAACAGCAGCAGTGCTCCTGGATCCAGAGAACAGCAGCAATGCTCCCTGGATCCAGAGAACAGCAGCAGTGCTCCTGGATCCAGAGAACAGCAGCAGTGCTCCCTCTGCATTCCCAGATAGCCCCTCTGTGTGAGGCCTGTACTGCTCAGCCCCCAGGAAGCTGCTGGAGAGCCACAAAGCAGCCCCAGGAGAGAGGCTGAACAGAGGAAATCCCAACTTCCTGATAAACACAGGGATTAGTTCAGTCCTTAACTGACATTCTCATTCTCTGTGCACCCTGGCAGGTTCAAAGGCTCTCTGATATTTTGCTGCTTTAGCTCTCTCTCTCCAGCACCAGCCCTGATGGAATTCCATAAGAGCCCATTCCCCTGGGTAGCACAGCACTGAACTGACACAAAGCACAGTCCCAGGGGCTGCAGATCCTGAAAACCAGGTTTTTTCTGCGAGGCAGCTGAGGGGCAAACTATGAAAACTGAGCTCAGAGCATTTAGGACTAGCAGAAAATGAAACTGGGACTACCTGCTTCTGTAACCTGTAGTACTTCTTGGAAAGATCAACACTTGTCCGTCCTTTCTGAAATGGGTAAGACCACAAAATTAAATTCCAGTGATTACCCATTTCCTTTACTCCATTCAAAAGACAGTTAATTTCTTCAGTTGTGAAATCTTTTCGGGTTCTTCTTCCTCTCTTGTTCAAGGTTCTTGTGTTCATGTCCAGGGGACGTATTTCATTGCTCTGCAAATATTTATGTCGGTGTAATTACAAATTATGTCAATTGGACAGACTGTGTGGCACGTGGAAGTAGGGTATTGCTGGCAATACACCCTTGAGCAGTTGTAAAGTCAAGGCAACAATGGCTCTTTAAGGTTTCTTCACTGCCACCCACTTACTGAAATACAGTATTTTTCTGGGATCTTTACCTTTGTTTCTGTTGTACCTACATAGCTTGTACCTTCAGTAGGTTTATTCCCTTAGGTTTCTGTGATTTCTATACTGTGCAAGTTTTCATCAACACAGGAAAAATCATACCTCCATATCCATCATTCAGAAAAGACTGTCAGCTGAAAAATGCTTAACTCAGTTCAGGGTAAATCACTGTGACTGGGGTAGAATCAACAGAGCAATATCCTGTTAATAAGATTCATTTTGCTACTGGGCTCCTGTTAAAGGTGACTTAAAAAGAAATGATGCAATTCTCCAGTGCTTTGGCCATTTACAGATATGTGAGTGCATGGTTAGGCTCTGCATAACTCACCTCATCTCTGTCAAGTGCATGGATGCAATTTCCTTGGAAGTGCTGACACTTCTGGCTGCACATTTCTTTGACTCCTTGTCTCCTCAAGTTGGCATCTTGGGTTTTTTGTGAAGCTGTGGAATTGGGAACAAGGAGGCTCTTGGTTACTTTAAACTAACTGAAATCTGCTGTAGAACTAAATGTAGTGCTTGAAGGAGCATTTCCCTGAATGAACCTGAATAGGTAAGTGTTGCTGTATCAGTGATAATCTCACTGCCCTTACATCTGTTCTCATCATTGACATTAACACAGGGGGATTATTTATACTCTGAGCGAGTGATAGTGCTACTGATGGGGGAGAAACTCCTGGGATTAAAGCCAGGGGGTTGTTTAAATCCTTAGCCACTTGTCCCCACAAACAAGACTTCTTCAGTGCCCTGAGCTAAATGCAAGCCTGATCTCTAAGTTATGCACATTAGAGAATTAATTTTCTGGTAACACTCACACTTCTCATAGGCAGGGGTCAAGTTATAGTTGCCAGTCCACCTAATATTTTTATGATGTTCATCTCTGTTTGAA